AAGTAACTTTATAATATACTGGAGCATCTTTAGTGTAAGAGATCAACAATTATCCTATATATAATTAACTATATATACAATTCCACAATCAATCCTTTTATGTGAAGGGTCATAGTTCACAAATAATTTACTGATCTTGACAAAATATTAAAACATGAAAATGTTGAAACAAACTTACTCCATGCCTCCATGGTACTATACAATCATAAGAATACAACATAGAGAAGGGTATGAAACAAAAAGAAAATAAGGCACTTAAACAATATTGTCTTGAGGGGAGAAGCCTAACAGTTTTAACCTTCAATCTCTTTGACGCATGCATCAAAACAAGGACTAATATCCCAACACTTGTTCAATCTACCATTCAATTCAACCCCGCTTTATAGTTTTATGGGCATCAACATATTCAAACTCTCCAAAGTATCCAACATTTAAAGCACCAAAACACAACAATTGAATATACAGAGTAAATAATCAAATAGAAAAACTTTGATCACTTAGAGGTACTAAATCATGTTTCTACATCACTAAAAGGAATGATAATGCCTTTGGAGGATGGCCTAAGCATGATTTGGTGCTTCCTCTTTTTCAAAACATTGTACATGCTCTTTAGAGCATTAGTCAACACATTAATGCTAACCATAGTTGCTGACACCCAAATTTCAGTCGTAATTTGCAATTTGATTCAATATGAAAATTTGTTATCATTGTCTTTAACAATAAAACCTAAGATATAACTTATAGTCTAACAGGGAAATTATCTAAATCACATATAATAATTTCATTAACATTCTAATATGAATGACTACTAGAAACAAAACTAATTTAAGACAAATGACATGAAACTAACCTTTGAAGAGCTCACCTAAGAGAATAGAAAAAAAGAGTAAGGAAAACAAAAAAAGAAAGAAAATTATAGGACCACAAAAAGAAGTGCAACAACAGAAAAAGCAAGGACTGCATCAAGGAAAGTTGCACTGATGGAGACAAAGAGGAAAATAACCATGAATTTAAGCATGACATTGTGTGATAATTTAGAAAATAGTCCAATTATGCAATATAAGTAATTATCAAACTCAAATTCTCCAATATAAGTACTTATCTCAATGATTCATGTTTCTCGAATAACATACAACAAAATAAATAATCATTAATTATCAAATACCATGGCATTTGTAAGGCAATGACAAGTCACTATACTTGATACAACTTAGACGCTATGCAACAAAAACATAAACATCAACTGACCTAGGTTATCATGCAAATAGTTCCTAAATTTTCATGCAACATGTGTGCCTATGTTTGGGGTTTATAGGAAAACATAAAACAAAAATTTCCTATTGATTCAAAACAGAAAGCCTCTAAAAGGGTTACAATCATCTTAATATTTGTATATACAACTGATAAAAATCTACAACAAAAAAAAAACTAAAAACAAGCCCTAAGAGCTAGTCAAACACTCAAAACACATGTTGTATAAGAACAACTTCTCCACAAAATGTCATTATTCATAGTCTAGGCCTCTACCTAATCTTAACCTACTCGCATACAAAGTATAAGCTGTAACAGCCTAATTTTCACTGGGTCAAGAGCCCAATTAAGGTGGGTTAGTAGGCCGGAACGGGCCGTTCCGAATTACTAAATAGACCTACTTTTGGTAGCTCGGAATGGGGCGTTCCAAACCATTAAATTTGCCTATGGTTCTTAGTTTGGAACGGGGCGTTCCAAAGATGAGAACGGGTCGTTCCAGAGATGAGGACAGGTCGTTTCAAGTATGGTCGTTATGGGTTTAATTGCAATCCCAGAACGGGCCGTTCTGGTTTGAGAACGGGTCGTTCTAGATGCGAGTTTTACACATGATGTGAGATTTCAGAACAGGCCGTTCCGGATTTGAAACAGGCCGTTCCGCGAATCCTGATGCCTATAAATAGAGCGCTCTAGCACTCCCAAAAGGCACACCTTTCAGTTCTGACTTCTTTCAGTTCTGATTTCTTTCTTCTACATTCTCTTCTTTTCCTTCTACACTCTCTGAAGACTGATGGGCACTTAGAGGAGAAGACTAAGGAGATCTCTGTTTTAGTTGCAACTGCTATTTATCCAGGTACGGGGGAAAAGGGGATTATTTGTATGCAAAGTTACATGAGGGAATTGGGTAGAAGAAGAAGCTCGTAGGATTATGAGTAATTTTATAATTACTTCTGTTTGGAGAATTATTGATCTTATGTGATTCTGTATATATTTAGGATTATGAATATATATTTAGTTTGTAAGAATGATGATTTGGGAGAGAGAACGAAATTATAAAAAAGTACCTGTAGGCTAGGTTTTGGAAAAATTGAATTATTTCTATTTGAGAAATTGATAATCCCATTAGATTCGGTATATGTTGAGGATGAGAAATATATATTTAATTTGTAAGAATGATGATTTGGGAGAGAGAACGAAATTGTAGAAAAGTGTCTGTGAGTTAGGTTTTGGAATAATTGGGAATTTTACCGTTTATGTTAAGATTATATTAAATTGCTAATTCTATTTATTATTATATTAATTTATGAATGTTATTGTTATATTTTTGATAAAATTGATGATCTAGGTGAGGATTCATGGTGAATTACTTGAGAGGTATGTGAATCACCATTTTTTGTGGATTGTGTATGTATTGTGGAATTGAGATGTGGATGTGGATGTGGATGTGGATGTGAATGAGAATGTGATTGTGGTTCCTCACACTTGTGACCAGGGGTGGCACGACCTTAGGCAAGAAATGCTACAGGCGTGACCTTGGCATAGTATGGGATGGGTGATTCCTCATGCTTATGTCGGGGGTGGCACGACCTCGAGCAAGAGATGTTGCAGGCGTGACCTTGGCACAATGTAGGATGTGTGATTTCTCATGCTTATGTCGGGGGTGGCACGACCTTGGGCAAGAGATGCTACAGGACCTTGGCATAGGGTGGGATGTGTGAGGCAATTAATGCTTATGTCAGGGGTGGCACGACCTCGAGCAAGAGATGCTACAGGCGTGACCTTGACATAGGGTTAATTGCAAGATTTGTGATTGGTGTGATTGTGAATTGTGATGTGAAGATGTTGTGTGATTGATAGAATTATGATAGATAGAAATGCTTGTAAATACTTTAATAAGTAATGAGTTATGATGAAACGATATTGTGGATTTTTCTTGTGTGCTTTTCATATAGATGTTTTCTTTTCTCACCGATAATTTGTGAATGTTTTAGGTGAGGAACATCCGGCTATGAGTGACATCTAGAATGCTAACAGTTGAGTTGTGGGTACGCTCTGATATTGTGACATCGGGGCAGAGGACTTCTAGGACATGAAATTTATTTGTAAATGGAGCTGTACTTATTATTTTGAAAACATTTTATAACCTCTTATGTTTTATTTTCCAAGTTTCATTTTCAAAATATTTTGGATATCGAAGAACGTTTCTAACGGTTTTTATGTGAACCCTATTACCAACTTTGAAAGTTATTTTTCTTAATTTAATTACATTATTACAATGTATGTATTGGGGTAGTAAGAGTGTCACATAAGCATCATAGTCCAACACATGGAAAAACAAGGGTAAACTTGTGTAACAAGAAAATAACATATATAATAGAAAACAATAATTAACTAGCTTTATCATCATAAAACAACTCTCACCATGAAAGCTCCACAAGGCACAACACATTAACTCGGATAAACAATCCACTATTGGTAATACAACTTCGAAACAACTTAATATAAGGTACACAACATAACAAACAACTCAACACCACAACCATACATCTCATCTTCATAGTAAACGTCTTAACAACATAATAGACAACACAACATTTCTATGTGTTGTTAGGCATTTCAACTTAGGAGGTCTTTAACAACACAAGTAAGTAGTTTAAGCGGTTTGACCCTACAAAATCAAAAACACATAAAGACCTTTCTTCACTATGTCATACAATACAAATTTGGCTGAAAAGCTTTTATTGATACATAAATGATTTCTCGAATTTCATCACTTAAACAAGAAAATTTCAGTACTATTGTTAGGAATAGAACAACTAGGGTTTAGGTATACCACAACATTAGTATGCATAAACTAAATGTATATGGAATTAACTCGATGACTATCCTCCAAATATTGTGCTCTATTTTAGCACTCGATTCAAAAAAATTTCCTTCAACCTTATGCCTTATTCAATGGCTACTTAATAAAATAATATGGCTTGACCTTGTCCCCATACTGTATCAACTAAGAACCTAGAGAAGATAACATTTTAAAACAACTTTCCACTTCAAGAGTCAACTCTCTCTTCGAAGGATTTTCATCTTTGGACTCTTAGAATACCATAACTCAGATCCTCAAAATGGGATCTTTCACCAGAGAAAATAACTCACTTTCTTATTGTTTTACATTCAACACAACACAAAAAATTGCATCATTTATAATCAACTTAAACAACACTTCTTTTTATACATACACAACACATCTCAACTCGACATCATAAATACATCTAATTCATCATCTTATAAAAAAAAAAAATCAACATAACATAACATATTTATGTATCAATATACTTCAATTTAAAACATGTAATAAACCAACAACTTGGAAACACCAAATGTCATAACATGATACATTATAAGAAATTCAACATATAAAAATTTTATGTTTGAGATGTTTAACTATTACATATGTATGTATTTTAAAAGAAATTTCACATTACTTTTTTTAAGGGAAATTTCACATTACTTAAACCAACTTTGAATGTTTATATAACAAAGTATTTCTTACATTTATAAAGAAATAAACAAGTGGTAATTAGTTTGTACCCATGAAAACGGGTTCGTACCAATTTGCCCCCTCATATATGATTATGATATCAAGAAATATTTTTAATTAGAGTAAATTATTTTATTTAAATACTCATTTGAAAATTGGAATATTATATTTTATCCCCATATGGAAGACTTGGGGATCAAGTTTAAAACAATTTATATAAACAAAGCCATTGGCCCAACATGAACACCATCATCAATTGATCACATCCAACACAACATACCAGAGAGTAAGTCTAGAGTGATGGCAGAGCAAAGCAAGGTGATCCTGCATGGAATGTGGCATAGCCCTTTTGCCAAGAGGGTTGAATTGGCCCTTAAACACAAGGGCATACCCTACGAGTATGTGGAAGAAGACTTGAGAAATAAGAGTGATTTACTTCTGAAGTACAACCCTGTTCACAAGAAGGTTCCTGTGCTTGTTCATAATGGAAAGGCCATAGCTGAATCCATGGTGATCCTTGAGTACATTGATGAAACATGGAAAGATGGTCCTAAACTGCTTCCCAGTGATTCCTACAAAAGAGCACAAGCTCGCTTCTGGTCTAACTTCATCCAGGATCAGGTATTCAACCATATCAATGCATTTCTTGCTTCCATATTAGTGTTTATGTTAGTATAGACTATTAGTAGATGTATACAAAATATGATAGTATCAGTGGCTTAAAAACTTAACCACTAAAAAAAGCTGCTGATTTGAGTTGAGATTTTGTTGGCTAAGTTGCACACGTTGTAACTGGTGTCATGTGATTGCTTTCACATCGCACACCACTTGTTTGGTGAAAGTGGTTAGAGAATGCTAAGAAAAAACTAATGAGTATTTCTATTTCACGTACAAATTTTGTCTTTTAGCTCATGTAAAAAAAAAAAAACAATTTTCTTGAATAAATGATATATGCATCTGACATTCAATCAGAAATTATATATGATAAAGTCGGTTGACTTTTATAATATCCACTTTGAAAGTCATACAAATTAAGATGATTTATGATTGATTTACAACTTGTGAAACCTATAAAACTCAAAGCATGTCGGTTAAATTCTTAGCTTTTTAAAGTTTACTTACCTAACTTTTGAACTAAGATTTTGACTTGGGTAATTAAACCATTCACTTATGTAGTTTTATTCTAATTATTGGTATGTAAATGTGAATGAGAGTCCTACATTGAATAAAGTTAGATATGCTGAATAACATACAAGTGAGAAAGATTCAAAGATTTGGGTTAAGAAATAGTGTCCAATTCACTTATGTGATTTTACTTATAGTCTGTTTCAGGAATATCACCACGTTTAACTCCGTTTGTGTTCCCAACACTAATGCATGTGTTTTGTTTTTTCTCTATTATACCATTGCAGTTAATGGAGAACAGTTTTCTAGTAGTGAAAACTGATGGAGAAGCGCAACAAAAGGCTATTAACCAAATATATGAGAAACTGAGTCTGCTTGAAGATGGGATGAAAAGCTATCAGGCAGAAGGCAATGTTGGTGTTGAAAACAAGTTTGGAATCTTGGAAATTGTGTTTTGTGTGCTATTTGGTCCTTACAAGGCTCAGGAAGAAGTTCTTGGCATGAAGTTCATCGTGCCAGAAAAGTTTCCAGTGTTGTTTTCTTGGTTGATGGCAATTGTTGAGGTAGAAGCAGTGAAAAAAGCAGCTCTTCCACATGAAAAAACAGTGGCGATTCTTCAGCATTATAGGCAATCTGCACTGAAGTCTTCTGCCACACCTTGATATGTACTTTACTTTCCCACGTAAATTTGCTTCGTGTTAATTAAGTCTTGTCTGTAGTTCTCAATAACAGGGAGTGCAATACACTTGTACCAAAGACATGTATTTGAAAAGATGGTAACTGGTTGTGTTTGAATTGATATCAAAGATGGTAACTGGTTGTGTTTGAATTGATATCAAAGATGGTAACTGGTTGTGTTTGAATTGATATCAATCACCTATATATTAAATATAAATTGGTATATTGTGAGAGTATTTTTAAAAAAATTTCTTTAATTAAAGAGTGTGTAAAGATTTTTTTAAAATTTTTTATCAAATTTAATTTTTATTTACCATAATTATTTATGAATTAAATATTCATAGTTTAAAATAAATAAAATAATTTTATGTTACAATATAAATATTTATTATAAATCTAAATTATAATTTATACATTTAAAAATATCTATATTTATATAAGTTTTAAATATAATTTATATATTTAAATATAGTACTTATTTATATATAATTTATTATAAAATTTAATTATATATAAAAAACATGTTTGTGTATCGTATTGACTAAAATACTAATTTAGGATAAAATTTTTAAAAAAAAAGTCATTTGAATCCATTTGAATATGATATTAAATTTGATATATTAATTTATTTTTTTACAAATATTTTCAATGATAAATTATAAATATATACATATACATAATTTATATTAACTCTTTAGATTTAGTTTAAGTGTTTAGACTTATATCTTGTATCAATGAATATTAGTCTATATATTTATACTTCTTTTTTTTTTTTACTTAATTTTCTAGTTGATTAATCTATAACATTAATAAAGAACAATATTTTGATCACATTATTTTCGATTTCTTTATCGTTAAACTTATTTTTTCAACTATTTCACTATTATGAAATTTACTACAAACTTTTTTATTTCATATTTTTTTTCTTATATTTTCACTTTTTTAAGTGCTTGTTTTTCTTAGTAAAATTCATCGTGGTCTTAAAAAAATAGACAGAAAAAAAAACTGAAAGGTAAAAAAAAAACAAATGGGCTAATGGAGCCCAGTGTTCATAAAGAACATGAAAAAAATGAATTTGGGCCAGTGGCCCAACTCTCACCTTGCAAAAGAAAATTAAAATAAAGTATAAAAAGAAGACAAATAGAAAAAGAATACATATGTATCTTTCCTGTCACAGCAGATAGGTATCAAACAAAGTGCTTCAAACAAATCTTCTACAGAATTATGGTTGCTTAACCAGGGATTTTACAAAATCTTAAATTCAAATTTTGGTAGTATCATTACAATTTCGATAAATAAATAAAGTACAAGATTACAAAGCATTTCATTTCATTGCTTTGGTTCAAGGATTTCTTTCAAAGAAACATGGAACAATTAAACTCAGAAAACTAAAAACTAGAAATAAAAATAAAACAACCAAAAAGAAAGAAGCAGAAGAGAGAAGTAGAAGTGAGTTTTTGGTGGGTGAAGAAAGGTAGATTTGCTCTCATTGTGCTCTATTCTCTGTTATAAATGCCAAATATTTACTATTACTTACATTCCTAAAATCGTCACATTGTGTACAAAAAATGTAGTACGTGTACATTGAACACTGAAATTAGTTTTTTTTTTTTTCCCTTTTCCATATCTTCTCATTTCAGAAATTAGTTTTCAATATTTAAAAATTAATTTTCAAAATATAAAAAGAAAAAATAGAGGGCGAGAAAAGAAAAAAGAATGAGTATTTAGTCCATAATTAGAAGGTACGGTTATATTAGGAAGAAAAAAATGTCAAATAAGTATCTGAAAATGCAAATCAATAATCAATTAATCATATTAATTCAAAATTCAAAAAAAATATTTGATTTAAACAATAATATTAACATGTTTTTAGGGGCTAAAATTTAAGGACTTATTTGACATTTCATAAATTTAATTAATATTTTTTTAGTTTCATAGATTAATGTGACAACATCTTCTAATTTTAAGACTAAAATGATTGTTTAGTTTAAAAAAAAAAAAGGAGAATACCCTCATGAATTGCTTCTAACTTTCTTTTGGGTATATTATTTTATTTTGAAAATTATGTCCTGCATCTAGCCCAAACTCGCGCATGCTAAGACTTGGCCCAAATATTTGATTTAATGTTACCATTGTTTATTTGATTTAGGCTCATGATATATACACTTCTTTTTTATTTTTAAAATATTTTTATTTTTATAAGTATATCTCTTTTATTTTTTTTTTTAAATTATAAAATATTTGTAGTTTTTTTTTAATTTTTCTAATTTTATACTTCTAAATTTTTTTTTTCACTCATTTTTTTCCTTTTTCAGTTTTCACATGCATCATTTCTTCTTCCTCCAATTTCTCACCTATTTTAGTAAGTAATTTTAACTCTATCGATTTTTATATTATTCTCTTCTTCCCTCACCTCTTTCACTTTTTCATATGTATCCAGACCGTAAAACTGGTACGTGATAATATTGTAGGTATGTGCGACTTCCTCGATAGTTTCTACCGAACTAGGCACATTTTTTTCTTCCAACATTTCCTTTTCTTTCACCCCTTCAAAATTAAGTTTAGTGTTATGAAAAAAATATTTTCACTATTCTAGAGTACTGTGTGGGATAGTGAATTTAGTATTCTAGAAAGATATTCCTATTGTGTTTTTTTTATACATATTTTCAAAAAGCACATTTCAGAACAATATGTAAAAAAAATACAATTAACATTGTCGAGAAAATCACATACACCTATAATATTGTTTAAAATTAGTTCTACTTTTTGCATGTGTATGAAAACTAAAAGCGGGGAGATGGGAGATAATAATAAGAAAACTAAAAGAGGAGGGAGGAAGAGAGTAATATAAAATTAAAATAATTAAAATTACCTACTAAAGTAAGTGGGGTAAAGGAAAGGTAAGGGAATGCATGTAAAAATTTAAAAAAGAGAGAAGATGTGTAAAAAAAGTACTAAATTAAATATTATGGGTGTAAAATTAAAAAATTAAAAATAAAAATTCAAGATATTTTAAAAAGTTAATTTTTTTTTAAAAGAGGTGTATTTATTAAAAAAAAAAAAAAGGAGGTGTATATATCACGAACCTTTGATTTATAGATTTATTATCTAAATCCGGGCTTGATGGGTCTTTAAACTAACTAGTACTTTAATATGTGAATTGCATATACATGTTTATTATATATAATTAAATTTTTTATAAATTAAATATAAATAATAAGTATTATGTTTGAATATATAAAGTATATGTAAAATTTGTATAAATATTAAATAAATACTTTTAAATATATATAAATAATATTTAGATTTATGATAAATAATTTATATTGTAATACAAAATTATTTTATTTATTTATAATTTATTTAAAATAAAATTTGTATAAATATTAAATAAATACTTTTTAATATATAAATAATATTTAGATTTATGATAAATAATTTATATTGTAATACAAAATTATTTTATTTATTTATAATTTATTTAAAATATTAATATTTTATTCAAGGATAATTATGATAAATAATAATAAAATTAAATAAGAATTTAAAAAAATCTCTACAAATTCTCTCTACTAAACTAACAATGTCTAGCCCTTCTTTGGACCAAGTATAGAAACGTGTTCTCCTTATTGGGATCAAGTAAAGTACAACATTTGAAATTTCAAGCCAAGTAAATAACTTTTTGTTTCTTTGATCTTCCCACTTAAATTAGGAATGTCTAATATTAATGAATAAAATAATTTGGATGTGAGCATACTACATACCCTTCCAATACTTCATTAGGGATTTTGACCCTCAACTCTGTGTCTTGAGCCATTAATGACAAGTATGTGTGACACTCTTCTACTAGAAAACATCATAAATAAAGTCTTTTAAGAAATACATTAAATTAAAAGGTGTCTAAAATAATCTACTAAGTAGAAAGATTCACAGTTTGTTAAATAAAACTCTTTAACATGAAAAAAAAGAAGTAAACATCAATATAAAGTTATAAAAAAAAACAAGGCACAAATTAGCCTTTTATATAAATCTTCCGAGATGAAACATCGTAATAAAGAGAGTTTGAAAAGCTCAATCCATAAATAAGGAAAATAAAGCAAGATCCTCTAACCCTAAAGCACCAAGCTTTATCTCCTTCATACTCAGCTTAATATACCTTCTCTATTTCTGCAAATGACGATCAACCTAGACAAAACAACGACCTCACAAACAAAAGACAGTGGAAATATATCTCATCCATGTATAGCACATACAAAGCATATGAAAAATATTAACATGATAAAGATTCATAATTAAATATCACCTATACATATGTGTATACACACACATATCCAACATCCAAGGCACACTCATCATAATAACACCAATCACTCCACATACATCTATCATCAACAATAACCATTCATTCAATCCAATAAATCTCAATTATAATATAAAGACTCGTGCAAATGCATGTGTTTAATTATACATTCATGTGGTACCAATCTCTTAATCATCACCAACTCAAGCTAGCCTAGGAGCCATGGACCGGATCATTACACACAAGGTGACCCTATTAATCCACTTTCAACTAGGGGATATCTACTAGGATCCAGTCAAAGAGTTATAGTCGTCCATTGTTAACTCTCACCTTGTTAGAAGCTCCCTACCATAACACTTCCAAGGCCTAGGTAGATGGCCATAGAGACCCATCTGTATAGATTCACACTACCTTTCAAACAAAGTATAGATGCATGGACTCTAAACACAACAATACTACACCACAACAAATGCAATGTCCACTTGGTGAGTTTGTCAAACTGTAGAGCTTAGACTTCTCCACAACATACCAAGTCTTGCTTGGATCTCATCGTTGCCAATCACAATTTAGATTTACACATCTCATCAACATCACCACCATTAATATCACCTCATACATCATGTTGTCATCAACACTATCTCATACGCATATCACCGCTATACATCCTCATATTTGTTCATTACATATTATAACATTCATCATTATAATATCATTATCACAACATCATCATCATTAAACCTCAAATACCATCATCATCAAACATCATTATACATCATAACATTATACATTATCATTACTCATACTCTCATCATCATCA